ATATTTGATTAATAATTAAATACAAATTCACTTGTTTTTTTTTTCTAAGAAATGACCATTTTGTGTCGTACTCTTATAATATTTACTCTTATAATATTTACTTTATTAATTATACACCTAAAATATTCATTCATATTATCTCTTTATTACAGTTACACATGGATATATGGGACAAAAAAATGGCGCACTCTATATTTTCTTATATTATGTATCGTAGATTATCACATCGGTATCCTTGAACTGTATGTGCACTATGTTGAACTTCAGCTAAAGTACACACGAAGTATTGAAATCAAACGAAAAACGTTATTCTGCGAGAAAGATAGTCAAAACAGAAGTAGTAAAGTGATGATGAATTTGCTAAAAGATTCCGACAATTATCCGGAAAAAAGAAAATGTCGTGGATTCGGGATGAACGTGCTATAATACGTGCATAGTGTCAAATTCAAGCTCGGCTGCGAGATAAATTGCAGAAAAAGCTGGAATTTCACGACAAATGTTGGGAACATCCGAAGAATGTCCTTGAAGAATCGTGTACATCTGAAACGACGAAAATTGCAACAAAAACTTTGGCTAAAACAAGAGCATGAGCTGTGCCGTTTGCAATTTGCAGAGAAGCACGTTTATACGAATAAGAAATGGCGAACAGTCGTATTTACCGATGAAAAGAAGTTCAATTTAAAGAAACCTGATGGCTTCCACTACTCTTATCGTGATTTACGAAAGGAGTAACAACTTCTTCGATCTATAGAAGACGGTGGTATAATGATTTGGGGAGGTTTTATTGGTTGATATAATAAGGTAAGATGGAAATGAAATTTATTAAAAAAAAATTAAATAGTAAAAGTATATTGAAACGATTGACGAACAAATTAACACGTGAGCGACATGAATTGCCGAAAGTAAGTTTACAACGTGATAATGCGAAAGCAGTAAAACAATACCTCGCACATCAAGGAATTCATGTTTTAGAATAGTCAGCCAAGTCTCCGGACTTGAATGTTATAGAAAATTTTTGGGCGAGTTTGACGACGGAATTTCATGTACCAGAATGGAAGATAATCCGCAAATATTAATAAATTTAAAAAATATATTGTGGAGAAGTGAGAAGAACTAAGCCAGAAAAATCATGAAAAACCTATATAAATCTTTGCCTCATAGAATGGCTACTTATTAAATGTAAAGAAGGTTCTTTTTCGTTTCTATCAATTTTGACCCACTAAATATTACCATATTTCTATTCTTTTTTTTCTAATAATATAAAATCTATTGCAAAAAGTTTAATTGTAGTCAAAAATATAATTACTTATACACGTTGACAAAAGCACTACGGAAGAATGTATATAAGAAAGATGTTGCACCATTGGTTTAATAGAGAAGAAATTTAATAATTTTTGTCCCGAGGTATATTTCCTGTTTCTTAGTTGAATTATTAACAAATAATTATCAATTATCTTTTGTGTTAAATAGTACATGCGATATATATATAGAGATTATGCAGAGACTATGATGTAGAGACTATGTAGAAACCATAGTATGGAGTAACGTATAGACTGTGTAATTATAAGGTGTTACAATTCAGAGGCAGGTCTGTGTACGTGATTAGTCACAAGATGCTACAATCTTGTAATAACAGTGCGTCGTTCTCGTTTCTACGAAATTAACAGATTCCAGAAATGGCAGCTTTACGTAAGAGTCCGTAAACTTGCTTAACGATGGTTTCCAGGGCATGCGGGTTGCCTCATTGCCTTCGTTACGGTTGAAAATTTTCCCGAATTTGAAGATTTTGCACGCGGTACACGGCAGTGACTGAAAATTGTCACTGTATCACGTGGTTTCAAGATATTCACGCCTACGTTGAAACGTACATACGTGTATTGTAGACACGTGGATTGTAAATTCGATCGGACGCGAAAGGTATACGTGTTCGAAATCGCGGAATAGGCTGCTTCGAGGAAACGAGTGGAATACAAATAATACTTTGAAAATTTGTTTCTGCATTTTGTACAAATCGCGTGGAGAATTCTATCGTCCTTTCGTTTCTTACAATTGTTACAATTAAAGTGTACGAAATACATGCAGTTCTATAGAGATTTCTCGCATTTATTTATTATTACGTACTCGATCAATTTATTTATATATTTTTCAGTAATATCGTCATCTCCTTCAGAATCTGTATTACTATTTTAATTAATATTTTAACTAATATAGAAGTGATTATATTTTCAAATACTTCGAATTTCGCAGACGTGGATACATTACCAGATCTTCCAATATCAATACATTTCTAACACTAATATCATAGTAATTTCCTTGCTTGCGAGTACATCGTGTACATAAGATGAACACATCTGTCGTTACACAGTATTGTCAAAAAGTATACGAAAATGTTAAACTACTGTCAGCATGAAATTCAAACGTGTGCAATAAAGGTACACTCAAACTTTTGACCTATCAATCATTCCACATAGATTTCTGTGGCTCAATGTGTTTATCTCGAATTTATTTGCTGCATCGTGACACGAGTAACTCGGATATGACTATTGAATCTATGGATAATTCCAATTTGAGAATTTCTCCTAGGAATCGTACGCACCTGAATAGTTGAGAGGTTAACAAGGTGATTGTACAGGTTAACCAAGGGTCGAGATATAAGGGGAAGTGGCTCTCGAGCCCACAAATTACGTACTCCTACGTCCTGTCATGGGTTCATAATGGGTGTTCTATAGCTATTGAAGGTGCTGACACTGGGTCCCCAGTTATTCATATAATACATATGCGGAAAAGCCGCTTTCATGTGTCCACGAAGTGATTTCGAAATAATTTCTGACTCGAACGATTAGTGAAAGATAAACCTAGAGAAGATCAATTTGCATTGGTATTGTAAATGGTCGCTCGATTCGCTGTCGTTATTCACATGACGATGATTTGAATTTTCAGTTTTATAATTTTCAGTTTCTACCTATGCTGAATCCGTTTTCATTGCAGCTTTTTTGCTGCTGCATCGCACGCTTCATCGTTCTTCTAGAATGTAATATCCGAGGAGTAACAGCAATAACGTAGGTTTCTCATAATCCACCGGGGGAACCGTTGCAAAATTTTAATTTCGATTTTTTTCAATTCACGATTGACACGGTGTTAACTACATATAAAATACTACATATTGTGGAAAATGACATAGTACTTTTATATGACTACAAATATATAAAATGTTAATATATTGATAATTGTATTATAAAATACGCAAACAATTGGAAAGTACCATATTGAACATTGAATATTAAAATCGAGCAGAAATGTACACATATATATCTATCATAAATTTTATAAAATACCGTGTCATCATATCAGGAAAATTTCAAGTAATATAAATCCTATAATATATTCTTTTGCGTTCCTACATTCTGGACAACAACTTTATTCTAGTGGATTCAATATTCAGTCTGCTTGGACAATGATTTCGTCCCAGTTATGGCCCCTTCATGAAAATAAATGATCTACCAATATAGCTAGAAAATAATTACAGACCAAAGAGTTATTAAATTTCTTCCATTATCTAGAAAGATACACAATTTCATGGACTTGAA